TGAAATGTTTGCTTCAGGTGCCGGATCCTGTATTTGGTGCTCACCTTGGCACATGATGCAGTGAGTGTAGTTAGCTTCAGGTTGCTATACAGGTTCAGGGCCGTTTTCCATCCCTATGGCACCAAGACCGTGAAGACCCCTCTGAGAGTATGCCCTCCATGGCGGACGAAGCCTGAACACTGGACGGGACCAGTGACGCAGACAAGTTAAGATAGTATTTCCATGTTGCCTTTATAATACCGGTTCCTGGCTTAAATGTCATGATGGCTTTACTCTTGTATGCTTGTACACAAGCGGTTCATGGGGCACAAGTGTAAGGGGACTTGAACTCTTAGTGTTTTTCCATAACTGTATTGTCTTAATATTTGACCCATCTATTTCCATCTATGAGCAATACCCTTGCATAGCAATGGAGGATTACAGGCACTTGGGAGCTGGAACACACGGGACAAACAGCAGTGATTCTGCCATGGCCCTGAAGAAATTTTAAGGTTTCTCAAATTACTAGTTGTTCCCTCGCTCTGGAGCAGGATCTGGCACAGGCAATAATCCAACACTCGCTGCATGCGACCTGTTTGACTAAGATTAAATTTGCAGCCACTGTGTCTGACTTATTGCAGAAGCTATAGCCACTTGTGGAATCAGAGGGAACTATCAACTGTAAGTGCGCTTCTGTCTCAACCGCTTCCCCCCCCAGTACCAATTATGATTCTGCCCAAACAATAGAATTGCTTGACGTACCAGCTGTGACACAAACCAAAAGGGATGCTAACCTTCTGTCAGAGGAGCTTAAAAGTTTTCTATTATCCACTGTTTAGGGAAGTTACCTACTTGCCATATGCTGGTTACTGTTGATTCATTGGTCGAGGCAGTGCTTACTAGTATTTGGATAGATATGCTTTGTGCTGCACAGCCCTGACATGCTGTTAAAAGAGGACCTGTTCTAGAAAGCCCTTTCCCACTCCAGATCAGGCAGGTTGGGCCTAAAACAATGATTGGTCAAACTCAGAGATGTTATTTCCCCCTCTTGATAATTTTAAAGCCTTGCATACTTTGGATGCAGAATGGACTTGGTCATTCTTGTATTTAATGCTAGCACTACCATTCCTATAGAGGGTACCCCCTCCTTTAGAGATTCAGTGGATTGGCACTGGATAGGAGACTCTTCTAAAAATGTATTTTGTGGTAACAGGACCAACCCTATGCCCTGCAGCTGTCACCTTAGTGTTTGCTCAAACTTTGGCTATCTGGACTGAATAAATTCATGATAAACTTTCCCTTCAGATAGAAAACGCAAAACTTTACTCATAGTTGCAGCTTCGATACCCTAGATGTGGATGCCACAGAGAGAACCAGATTTGTCAAATGTCCAGAATGTCTTTACTTTGTATGCATATGCACAGAATCTTGTGGCTTAAAGGATCAGTTCACCTTTTGATAAAGGAATAATAAATGCACATTTTTTTTTTTGGCAGGTAAAAAAAAATGTGCATTTCATAGTTTTTGCTGCAGGAGCCTGGAAAGCATTGCAGTATCGATCAGCAGATCGCTGGTGCCATGCAGGTCTCCTGCAGACCTGTCAGTAGATCTGTTTGCCCGTACAGGATGTGCGGGCAAGCATATATACTGATAGGAAGACTGAGTGAACTACCACAGCGCTCCACAGCACCGTGGCTATGGCTGTCGGGACTTGTAGTTGATTCATTCACAGAACACTGAGTGAATGACGTGGTTGGACAGTCAGAGCCCTACACAGCCACTTTTTTTTAACATTTGTTAGCTAGCGGGGAGAGGAGATTATCCCCCGCTAACTGTAAGCGAAGGATCAGTGGAGGCTGGTGCTTCATAACTTGTTAAATGTTACACCCTGAATATAGGTGTAACATGTTATGAAAGGTGAACTTATCCTTTAAATAGTTACTTCACCTTTTCAGAAAAAAAAAATTATTGCTGTGCTCTGCTTACTTCTCTAGTCCTGCTATGTTTCTACTCACTTGGGAAAAAAACAAGATTCCTTAACCCCATTCTCATTTATCATTACAATGGTTGTTCATCCCCTTTTCCTACTCGGGAAATTATTTCAGGGTTTCCTAACCCCTACCTCCTGTCCTTTAAAGGTTTACATACCACGTTTCACAAGATGCATTGGTACAATTATTTTGATAGTCAGGCTTCCACAAGGTGCCTTTGACACAGGCATTGTCCATTCCATAGTTAGTCTTGTAAAGACTCCTGTACATCTGTGGCAGAATCTCTGATTCCAGACAAATTATTTCCCTCCATCGGTCTTTTTCTGGGTTAATTTTCTTACTGTCTGATTTACCCTGCAAACCTTTTATTACTAACGTGAATGACTTCTTCCATTCACTGTGTCCATGGGTTGCTATATTATTGGCTTTTTTCTCAGCTCCTGGGGTAACCATTGGGATCCCTCAGAGTTTGTGGCTGTAGGCCTCCAAACACTTAAATTCCATCATCCTGACAGCTGTTGTTTTCCATACTCCCCAAAGGCTGTGCCTACGCTCTGTGGGAAGTCTTTTTTTCCTGACATATTGTTGTCTGTGTATTATCATCTCTTTAGATCAGCCATTCTCAACCAAGGTGCCCAGGCACCCTGGGGTGCCTGGAGGTTTCTTCAGGGGTGCCTTGGCAAAATGTCTAAAAATTGCCCAAAACTTGTATACAAGCCAGCAGGTGGAACAAGCCTGCCTTTTAGTTACACAAAGCCACAGGATTTCATTGTGCACCTGTATGACCTTCTAGCCGCCGGCATCCCGACAACTAATGACATCATCAGTTGATAAGGAGGATGTCAGCTTCCTGTACAGCATCCTAGTTTGCCCCTCTCCTGCCCCTCTCCATCAGTGTTGGGGTCACATTAGCTCAGTGATGGAGAAAAACTGAGGGAGAAGAGAAAACACTGGAATACTACTCAGTACCTGTTTGCAAAGGTGTATTTGCTTTGGAAGAATAAATCACATCTAATGTTGGGTGTCCTATATGTGTGGATGTTGCTGCGTTATATAAAACTATTAGAATAGTTTTTCACATTTTAGAATGAGGTGCCGCAAGACTCTCCATAATTTTAAAGGGTGCCTTGGGACTGTCCATAACTTTAAAGGGTGCCTTTTGACTGAGAAAAGGTTGAAAAATACTGCTTTAGATAACCTCTTCAACAGGACAATCTTGTTAATATCTGATTCATTAAAAAAAAGCCTTGACATTGAGCCCTCCTGCTAATCATGATTCATTGCCTATATGAGATTTTTTTTTTCTGCTCTTCTCCTGAATTCAGCAAAGGAGTAAATTGTTTCTCTTGGATGACTGGATCCTAATGCCCTTTACTTGATGAGATTATTTAAACAACCTAGAACCTCTACTCCCATGTTCTGCTATGATATGGCCTCTCTGGCTTAACCCCCAAGCCTTGTTCTGAGCTCCAACGCACTTTTTTCCCCATCCCTTCCATGGCTGCAGTTTAACACAGGGTACATGATTTGTATTAAAAATTGTTTACATCCCCTTGATCTCAGGGTTTCTTGGATGTTTCCACCTGTTGTCTACAGTAGTTTTGGCACTAGTCTCATATACTCAGCCACCCTTATTATCATATACATTTATGACAGCTTGAGCAGGCAATTTCCTAATATCTTTAGCACCGTAATATTCTGAATGTTGGCCCATTCAATTCTCATGTTGGATGCCTTCCTTTACATCCCCATTTGGGCTCAAGATGTTTTCTCCAGCTTGGTAATCTTTGGGAAACAGCCCCCCCTAGTGGACGAAAAAACCTCTGCTGTTTCTTATGCAATCAGAAGTTTCTACAGATAACAGTTTGTATTGAGGTCTGTTGGCCTTCTTGTTTTCTTCCTTTGAGCCTGTTTTAACTGTTTAGCTGTCTTATTGCTCACCTCTTGATTATTGCTTGGGGACTTCCTCTGATCTATAAATTGATTCCTGTGTCCTGATGTGTGCAATAAAGAAAAGATTAATTTTGATGTACCTGTAAATTCTGTATCTTTTAAATACAGTACAAGACACCGGTTCCTGCCCTCTCTTCTCTGTGATCTCTCTGTTGCTTGCTTACAAAACTGGAGCCTCACAGAGTGGGTGGGTTAGATGGGCACACTAGAGAGTGGAACTAGTGAAGCCTTTGCAAGTGTTCAATCACTTGAAGGTAGCAACACATAATCCAAGGTTTATGAATTTATTGCAGTGTCCTGTATTGTATTCCAAAATACAGAATTAGCAGTTAGGTCAAAATTCCTCTTTTATTTAAAAGTTTCAATTTGCCATCACTTCCTGTACTTCTGACAACCATATTAAAAACAGGAGGTGCAGTTGTTACTGGGATAGGGAAGTATGGAAAGAAATACAGCATTGCCAGAAAGGTCCAAGCCCTTCCTTACTTTAGCAAAACATGTTTTGTCCATTTCTTCATTGGTAAGATTTCCAGTCACTTCCTGTCTTAACAGAAAGCAAGAGGAAAGCTCCCTAATAGGCACACAGACCTCAGAAAAAATATGAAAGAGGCTGTAACTCCTTCCCAATATATCTAAAGCAAAACTTTTTGACTGCAGTTGTGCTTTAAAGACTAAACAATGTGAGTCTAATTTAGACACAAAGACAAGTCCACCCAAAACAGATGATTTAGTTTTTTAGGCTGTACGGTAATCAACAGTCCTCTGCTCAAGAGGCCATGTGAAACATGAACATGTGTTGTTATATGGGAGGTGCTGTTGCAGTAGGTATCAATGGTTGCACCTCCTGTAAAAATCTGTAGTTCAGGTATAAGTACAGGCTCAGACCTCACAACCCTCTGCTGTCCTGTGAAGATGTTCAAAAGTTGAGGCCTGTAGATTGCTGATACTCTTGCATTTGTGTGTAGGTGGTAAGAGTTAATTGTGTTCCTTGTAACATGTAGAAGTGAATATTTGCATTCATTGTCTTGTCTTCCTGCCCCAATTCATTGTTTTCTTTGCTCATTTTGCCCCATGCAGATTGGGCAAGTCAAACAGGAGCTCTCTCGTAAGGACACAGAGTTGCTGGCGCTACAGACCAAACTGGAGACCCTCACCAACCAGTTTTCTGACAGCAAACAGCACGTGGAGGTCCTGAAGGAGTCGCTTACTGCAAAGGAGCAGCGGGCAGCTATCTTGCAGACTGAGGTAAGAAACAAAAACAATTAAGTATTAATATGGGACCCACTAAGCACATTTGCACCTTTTTGCTCAAACAGTTATGCTGTGACCTTGACATTACAGCGACATGATTTACAGTGTCTTATGTTGTGATGACATCACTAGTTTTAAGGGAACTGACAGTACTCTGAAACGTTTCTCTTACCTATAGTTTTCCTTATTTTTTTAAATAGTCTTTAAATAGAAAAGCTAGCCAACTTCAGACTAGCACTGGAAACTGAAGGCTGAAAACTGAAAGTTTGGCCCTTGGTTTGTAGCTACAGGGCAATATTGGATGTGTTTTTTTTTCTGGCATTCTGATACAAGACTCAATATATCTGCTACACATATTAATAATGTATATTCTGCCTTAGCGCCGGTTCACATATATGCTGATTGGATGCGGTTTGAACCACATGCAATCTGCATTACATGTGAAATATCATTGCTTCTTATGGTGCCTGTTCACATGTGTCTGGTGCACTGGTAGTGCAGATTTAGTGCAGATTGAAAAAGAGTCCTGTCTGATTTCTGAGCAGTGCAGTCCAGTTCAGGTTCGGATTACAGGCTACAGTGCCTCTGAAAAAATATTCATACCCCTTAAAAATGTTCCACATTTTGTCATGTTACAAACAAAAATGTAAATGTATTTTACTGGGATTTTATGTGATAGACCAACACAAAGTGGCACATAATTGTGAGGAAAATGATAAATTTTTAAAAATAAATATGTAAAAAGTGTGGTGTGCATTTGTATTCAACCCCCTTTACTCTCATACCCCTAACTAAAATCTAGTAGAACCAATTGCCTTCAGAAGTCACTAATTAATAAATAGAGTCCACCTATGTGTAATTTAATCTCAGTGTAAATACAGCTATTCTGTGAAGCCCTCAGAGGTTTGTTAGAGAACATTAGTGAACATTAGTGAACAAACAGCATCATGAAGGCCAAGGAACACACCAGACAGCTCAGGGATAAAGTTGTGGAGAAGATTAAAGCAGGGTTAGGTTATAAAAATTATCCCAAGCTTTGAACATCTCACGGAGCACTGCTCAATCCATCATCCGAAAATGGACAGAGTATGGCACAACTGCAAACCTACCAAGACATGGCCATCCACCTAAACTGACAGGCCAGGCAAAGAGAGCATTAATCGGAGAAGCAGCCAAGAGGCCCATGGTAACTCTGGAGGAGCTGCAGAGATCCAGAGCTCAGATGGGAGAATCTGTCCACAGGACAACTATTAGTCGTGCACCCCACAAATCTGGCCTTTATGGAGGAGTGTCAAGAAGAAAGCCATTGTTGAAAGAAAGCCATAAGAAGTCCCGTTTGCAGTTTGTGAGAAGCCATGTGGGGGACACAACAAACGTGGAAGAAGGTGCTCTGTTCAATTGAAACCAAAATTTAACTTTTTGGTCTAAAATAAAAATGCTATGTGTGGTGGAAAAATAACAGTGCACATCACTCTGAACACACCATCCCCACTGTGAAACATGTTGGTGGCAGCATCATGTGGGGATACTTTTCTTCAGCTGGTCAAAATTGATGAGAAGATGGATGGAGCCAAATATAGGGCAATCTTAGAAGAAAACCTAGTGGGGTCTGCAGAAGACTGGAGACTGGGATGGAGGTTCACCTTCCAGCAGGGCGATGACCCTAAACATCCACCCAGAGCTACAATGGAATGGTTTAGATCAAAGCATATTCATGTGTTAGAATGACCCAGTCAAAGTCCAGACCTAAATCCAATTTAGAATCTGTGGCAAGACTTGAAAATTGCTGTTCACAGACGATCTCCATCCAGTCTGACAGAGCTTGAGCTGAGAATGGGCAAACATTTCACTCTGTAGATGTGCAAAGCTGGTAGAGACATCCCCAAAAAGACTTGCAGCTGGAATTGCAGCAAAAGGTGGTTCTACAAAGTATTGACTCGGGGCTGAATACAAATGCACACCACACCTCTCAGATATTTATTTGTAAAAAAGTTTGAAAACCATTTATCATTTTTCTTCCACTTAACAATTATGTGCCACTTTGTGTTGGTCGATCACATAAAATCCCAATAAAATAAATTTACGTTTTTAGTTGTAACATGACAAAATGTGGATAATTTCAAGGGGTATAAATACTTTTTCAAGGCACTGTATTGACTTCTATGGGAACCGTTTCGGAACCGCACATGTCATCAGTTGTAAACAGGATAAAATCCTGACCTGAACCTGATCTAAACCTGTCCTGAACCTAATCTAAACCTGACCTGAACTGCTGAACAACTACTGTGTCAGTTGTGAAATCTGAGCTTCAGTTCGCACCGCACATGTGTGAATCCATGCTAATGCTCATTGCTTCAGAACTTGTGTAGGTCCTTGCTTCCATGTAATATCTGTCTATTTTGACATAGGCTTGTGGGTGGAGCTAGAAAGTGAGAATTTTTTGATGGGCGGGGCTAATGGCAGTAAAGAATAAAAGTTAGATGTTGAAAAATTGAGTGCAGAATAGTGATATGGACTGATGGCTGTGTTGATAGTTGTGGATGTAGACAGATGGGGGCTTTAAAACTTGTTGGGGTTAGCATACAGTGGCTTTACCTAATCACATAAATACCGGTGCTAGCTATGAAATCAATCAATCATACATTAAAGTGACCATATATCCATAAAGTATAAGCAATAAAATCAACTGTATAACATAGTCAACAGTGTACAAAAACATATACAGGTACAGCGATAATAGTGAAGTCCGTGGTAAATAAATGATACAAATGTCTTTGATACACACTGTTTCTTCAATTTCCAGAATATTTCTTGTGCTCTGTGTTCTATGGAGAATATGTGAAGGCTCACCAGAATATATTTACCTCTTATAATTCAGTGAGTCAAACAACACTTTCCCAAAAGGGTTTTGATTAGACGGACTTCCAGGTACATCTCCTCTTTCAAGTTTAGGCTTTAGGTAGGATCCAACACACCACTTCCTTCCTGTAGTGGATTCTACCTAAATTCTAAGCCTGAAAGAGAAGGTGAGCCTTTATTTGTTCTCCATAGAGCACCGTGCAATATTCTTGGACAGGGGCATCCCTAGGCAGGTGCGGGCTGCTCAAGGAGACACCTATTGCACAGGGTGACACTGGACCCGCTCCACGAAAAGGTAAGTTTTAAAGCAAGCTGACGATCCCCGCAGGATGGATTGGATCTGCGGATTGATCATAATGGATCCGAGTCCGATCCATTATCCTCCCCAGTCCGCAGATGCGATCCATCCTGCGGGGATTGTCGGCTTGCAACCTCTACAGGGTTAACTGATCTCTCCACGAACTCCACAAAAAGGTAAGTTTTAGAGCAAGTCGACAATCCCTGCAGAATGGATCTGGAGATTGAACATAATGGATCGGAGTCCGATCCACTATGCTCCCCAGTCCGCAGATCCGATCCATCTTGCGGGGGTTGTCGGATTGCTTTGAAACTTACCTTTTTTGTGGAGAGATCAGTTAACCCCGTGTTGCCGCATTGGGTGACACCAACCCTAAGTACGCCCCTGTTCTGGGAAGTAAATAAAAAGTGTGTTTCAAGGGCAGTTATATCACTTTATTTTTCACGAACTTTACTATTATCACTGTACCTGTATCTGTTTTTTGTACACTTTTTTAATTGATATTTTTATAGGATTGATTTTATCACTTAAACTTTATTAAAATATGTTCACTTCAGTGTATGATTGATTGATTTCATAGCTAGCGCTGGTATTTTTTGTTAGTTGTTGAAAGCACTGGGGTGTTTATTTTCACTAGCAGCTGATACCTAATTGAAGGTGGTAGGGAAAGTTGGGGCTTTAGCATGATATCTATTATTATAGTTTTAATGGCTTTACCTAACCTGCAAAGCAAAATTAGTGGCCATCAAAAACAGACCTAAACATTTAATTGAACTTTACAGGTGAATGCGCTTTAAGCAGCTTTGGTCCACTCCAGTGACGGTAGTTAAGCTTTAGGGCAGAATTTACCCAGTAAAGTAAGAAGGATATTGGCTAGGATTAAATTGTAACCTCAGGATTGTCCCATTCCCCCGAAGCCCCACCCTTTACATTTCTTTGTCCACCTCATCTTCCAGCGGCAGCGCTGGGTGGGCATTTTTCCAGCATCTCTGACGTAATGACATGGATTACTGTGAGCCTCAGACCTGGATTACTGTGAGCCCAACCTGCATGACAATACTCCCCCTAGAGGGTGTGCAAACAACAGATTGGGCTCACAGGAAATATTAATACATGACCGTCGTAGAAGGCTGCCAGCATTGGACCAATGAATTTGTTGACAGCGCTGAAGCGTGGAAAGGGAGATTGGCAATCATTTTTTTTAAGGAGGGGTTGATGGGGAACCATTAGAAAAAAACAGACTTGTACTTTAAGCTGATGTGGTTTTCCCATAGGTGGATGCGCTTCGTTTACGTCTGGAGGAGAAGGAGACCATGCTGAATAGAAAGACAAAACAGATTCAAGAAATGTCTGAAGAGAAAGGCACCTTATCCGGCGAGATTCATGACCTCAAGGACATGCTGGACGTCAAGGAGAGGAAGGTCAATGTGCTGCAGAAGAAGGTGAGAGATATTTGTCCATGAAATGTTGAGGAATTACACCTGTATTTTGTGAAATACACTATTAAGCTAGAAGTATGTGTACACTTCTTCGTTTGATTGAGTGCAGGTGTTTGTGGTGAGGGGTAATGCTAATTCTACAGTATACAAAGACATTTTAGACAGTTGTGCATTTCCAACTTTGTGGTTTGGGAAAGGCTCTTTTGTGTTCTAGCATGACTGTGCCCCTGTGTACGAAGCCAGTTTTCATAAAAACATGTTTTGACCAGTTTGGTGTGGTGTGCAGGACCTTCAGTGTCCTGCACAGAGGCCTGACTTCAATTCTACTGAACACCATTGGGATGAATAGGAACACTGATTGTGAGCCAGGTCTTCTCATTCATCATCAGTGCCTCACCAAAATCTTGTGGAGTGCCGTCCTAGAAGAGTAGAGGATATTATACCAACAAAAAAGCGGGACAGGTTGGCAACTTCTGTTAAAAGAGAAGTATGGCCTTTAAAAAAACATACTCACCTAGGTGAATGCAGCCTTGATCCACTGCTGCATCTGCCTCCCTCCATCTCTGCACTGAGAACTGAGTAATCAAATACTGCTGATCACTCAGTTCTACTCCGCTGAGCAGAACTCAGGCTGTCAGTCTCTGGCTCTTTGCTCTGCCCTTTCAGCGCTCACTGGAGTGCTGGGCTGTGGAAGGGGTGGGAGAGGCTGGCTCAGGCTGTTGGCGTGTCACTGAGAGGCTGAGCCAAGTGTTGGTCCAGGCTTCTGGGCAGAACCCGACTGATTAGTGAGGGGAACTCACTAATCAGTGAGTCACTAGAGACCAATCTGCTGACAGCCTAAAGATTTACTGCTGCTGAAGGGGGAGGAAGAATTAGGAATAACACAGACTGTGCCGAGGGAACACAAATTAGGGAGGAAATAAAGGAAAAGGCTAGAGGTGACAGGACAAACTCTGCTGCCAGGAAGACACAAAAAGAGTTACACTTATAGGAGAGTGTCTTATCTTAGCTCCCTGATATTCTCTCCTTTCTCCCTCAGCAGGCAGCCTATGAGACTGAGTACTCTCAGCTACTGCAAACTTTCCCTCTAGCGGAGTCAAAAAATACAATCCACACTGGAAATACACTCATTTTATTTACAGAAGTGACATATAAGGGAAGATTTACTAACACTGGAGTACTCAGAATCTGGTGCAGCTGCATGGTAGCCAATCAGCTTCTAACTTCAGCTTGTTCAATTAAACTTTGACAAAACCTGGAAGCTGATTGGTTTCTGTGCAGAGCTGCACCAGATATTGCATGCTCCATTTTTAGTAAATCCCCCTAAGCCCCCCCACCTCACCCCACCCCATTTTAAGACTGCTCTGGGCTTCAGCAAAATGGTGGCCTTCAGCAAGAAGAAACAGGAGCAATGCTGGAGCAATTTACAGCACACAAAAAGGTAGCGTAATTATTTATGTGAAATGTATGTCCTTTTGTTAAAGAACATTAATGTGATTTTAAACTACACGTTTTAAAATAACAACCCATTCAATTTAAAATAGAATTGAAAGGCAAAGCATTTGTTTATGGAAACATAAGAAAAAACATTACAAATACCTCCCCCCCCCCTTTTTTATAAGTGATTACATTCAACCTGTTCTCAGCTGGGACTGACAGGAACACCAGGGATTTCACACAAAGGAAGCAATACATAGAGAACAGGATACGTTTTCTATAAAGTAAACGGTACAACAGGCACATATCAGGAATATGAAATGTTGGGTTTACATATTCTTTAAAGTGTTGCTGAACCCACAACAGTTAAATCAGTCTGTATATGCAGTAAAGCATGCTTGATATACTCATTCTGGAACCTAAGGGTTTAATCATCTGCATTTTGTAAAAATTCTGTTTGATCCTGACTTCTCTGATCCTCCCCTTCTTCCAGTGCACCCCTCTTATCTCCTGATAAGACATATCGTGTGGAGACACTCTGCACATGCTCAGTTCGGTGTGAATTGCTAGAGTTTTTTTTTTTTTTCTTTTGGGAGAGTGCATGTGATCAGCATAGGGCCAATCAGCACTGTCCAGACAGAGGTCAGATGTTCTGCATCCTCCTAGAGCAGAAAGAAAATTTCTCCTACAAGCTTTAACCAGTGCTTGCCTGGACACTGATAGAAGTCACAAGACTGCTATAACTGCTGATAAGAAAAGGTGTTTAGCAGTTTATATTTAGTAAAATAATTGCATTTCCATGTTCTATGTGCTGTGGGAGACCAGATGTAATGAACGCAGGGTCCTGGGTTTAGTAACACTTTTATTGTTATCAAACTGTTGTGTAAAGTTCTTCTTTAAAGTATTCACAGATTCTTGGCTAGCAATAAAAGACTTTGTCACGATTTTTTTTTTTTAAAGCCTTACCTATGGAAGAGAAAATGCTCACCTTTCCTAGTGCTGGTGAACATGATACAAGCATCCTGAAAGTAAACTTCTGATTTACATACTTCTTTTGACTCAGTCGGAAAGCACAAGAACAAGAAAATCAGTATAACAGCCTGGTTACTAGATTTTTCAGAAGAAGGATTCAGAGATGGCATGGAATTTATTTCTCACAGTATGGCTTTCCTTTGGTATCCCTGTCTGAGCCTTTTCCACCTCTGTAACTTGTTCAGTTTCTTCTGTGTTTGTGGAGGGTGCTGTGCTTTCTGTGACTACTAGATGGCGCTCCGCATTCACAGGTTTGTAAGACACTGCTAGTAGTGTCCACCTGTATGTGATTCACCCTGCTGACTGTTTGCAATTTAAAGTGGAGCCAAATGCAAAAAGCTCTGTTGGCTTAATATTGCTAAACAGCAGGGTGTAGCGCTAAAATAACCAGATCAAATTATATTAAGAAATCAGTGTAACTTAAAGACAACAAAATCCAATAAATAAATAGCTTAAAATAGCATAGCTAGCATAAAACACGTGATTATTATATAAAACACCTCAAATGAATCAATTATAAGATGGATAAAATATAATAAAGCACATCAACATAAAAAGGTGATGAAACAGTGCTCCAGCATGTCACTCTGCAGTGACTATTGATGTGCAAAGTGCAAAAAAATATAAGTCCAACATTAAGGTGCATAAGAGATCATGACGATCTTCAGGATCCAGTGATTTGATCCAGATAGGGTAGTGATATATCCCGGGGTATAAAGATTGCGCACTCACCAGATACGCAATCAATCTGCGCATTTAGAGATATCAATCTCAGACATCAGCTGTCAATATTGGTATGCCCACTCTGTGGATGGTAAAGCTCCCAGGGAGCCCCAAAAAGGGGAGGCCAATAGCGTGATATCGTTTGAAAAGGGGTCATTTATTGCAACCAAGCCAAAGCAAAGTAAATCACACTGACCAGTGATGAAATTCCAAGATTGTTCTCGGCGTCGTGGCGTCCAGATGCTGTAGCTCCTCCATGACGCGTTTCGTGCAATAGCACGTATTCATAGGGGGTGTGCATCTTAATATTGCTTTTCTTGTGACAGCCACTCCCCTATTTTCTTGCCCAGTTGTCACACCCACACAGAGGAATGCGGACCCGCGGGCTGGTGCCATTAATTTTATTGGCACGCCGCCCGCACTGGAAATCGCAACCGCTCTGGGAACCGAGGTTCCCGTGCGGGCTGCGTTTTCAGAAGAAGCGCAGGGACTTCTTCCCTGCGTGTCCCGGGGCAAATGAATGGGCTCTCGTGCTTGCGCAAAACATGGCCTGCAGGAACATGGATATCTGAACCAGGGGTAAGTGCTGGTTCACACTATTGCGGTGCTGGAAACCTCATGTGATTCTGACAGGAATCTCACTGTATTCCTGTTTAAACATTAAATTCTTTGCTGTGCAATTAGAGCAATTCATTTTCCATGGCTGAAATTGTTGTGCAACTGCAGGTAAGGTGCAATCACCTTTCTTTTTTTGCACTGGAATCAGATCGCGTGGGTGTTCTGCAAACCTTTTTGGAGTGTCGGTAAATCAACATAGACACCCACAGCAATTCGCATGAACAAAGTGCGATTCTGATGCAGTGCAGGCAACGCACAGAATTCACTATGAATCCCCTTACCGCATCAGTGTGAACAAGTCCTTAAGGAGATCTTTTTTCAGTTCACCATCTGTGTTACTATTCTGATTTTAAACATTCAAGATATACAGTAGTTGTAACTAATACTTGGTTTTTTCTTCTATTTTTGCTGGAAGTCCTGCCACATATAACCAGATTGTGTCGCTGTTATACATAGCCAGAAGCATTGTGTGTGTGTGTAATTACACCCACGGCTCTGTTAAGTGCTGTAGGGTGTAGTTGTTATCCTTTCCTCACTGACTCCAATGTGTGCAGGAGATTAGGTGTGTGTGGGATTAGGTATGTAGGCTTAGAACAAGAAAAGGCTTTCCACAAAATGTTGGAGTGTATCTATGAAAGTTATGCCCATTTGTGAGGTTAGGCACCAATTTTGGATGAGAAGACCTGGCTCACGATTGTCATTCCAATTCATCCCAAAGGTGTTCTGTAGGGTTGAGGTCAGGGCTCTGTGCAGGCCACGTAAATTCCTCCACACCATACTGGTCAGTGCTTGTCACTGGTCTGTGATTGGTCTTAGAGCTGGCTTTGTAAACAGTACACAGTCATGGTAGAACATAAAATGGCCTTCCTAAAAGTGTTTCCACAAGGTTGGAAGCTGAAAAATGTCTAAAATGTTGACCCTTGAATACCCTTCACTGGAAACACCTGAGCTAAATCATTTGGTAGGGGGTCCACATGGTTTTAACCATATAGTGTTGTGCACTTCCCTCATCACAATCTGATGGTTAGCTCAGGCTGCTTGTCCTGTAATTAGTTTATTTCAGCCATTGCTCAGGAAAGTTTTCCTTTTGAGTTCTAACATCCAGAGCTACATTTGAAATTTGATCACAAAATTGTAGCACGGTGAGCAAGTCATAATCACAGAAATGATTTTACATTAAATTATACAGTGCC